GAAATCGAAAATCCGTTCAATTCCAGCCGTAAATGTACGTTACGTTGTTCAAAAAAAAGAAAAAAAAGGGTTTTTGGAAATACACAATCGAGAAGATCAAAGGTGAGAAACTGAACATATATTAATGAAAATATTTCTTTAATAATTAATAATTATAATCTTGTATAGTCGCAATTTTTCGGACTTTAATTATTACATTTGCATCTACAAAAAAATACGAAAAATTCAAAGAATACATAGTAGCTTTCTTTAGCAAGCCTATGAATACATATCAGCAGAATGTATATATAATAAATTGTAAGAAATTAAATAAATTTATTCCCAATTAATAAGCATTGACTTAAACCGAACCATAGGTTGATCGATGCATGAAAGACTCGAGCTCCCCAAATATATCTTCATCACCCTCTTCATTATTATATTCGCAGAAATCGTTCGACTCAAAGTACGTTTTTATATCGTCATCAGAGATAGTATTACTGCTCTGCATTAGTGTGTCAGAGTATTCTTGTTCATGCATGGAAGGGCAATAATATTCTGCAGCCAAGTTCATTTCCGTCATTTCTTTAAACTTTGACGACTGCAGCAGAAGCCCTAAGGCTGACGTGGCGGTCCGCGGCTGAGGTAAGGCAGCAATGGTGGTGTCGGAAGGTTGTTGAAGGTGGTGGAGGGAGGCTGAACCGCCGCCGGCGTCGTGGTGTGAGTTTGTGTCGGTGGTGGTGTTATTATTAGGTCTTAGCCATTTGATGTAACGGCTTAGGTCGAAATTTGTGACTGCGTGGAGCCCACGGTATTCTATAGCCGCCATGTCGTACGCGACCGCAGCTTCTTCTTGTGTGGCTGCGAGAATTTATTTACTTATTATTTATTAATTTTTTTTAATGGCGTAATTCAGAATTAACATTAAGAAATGAGGATTAGTGTGCTAATTAATTAATTATAATTACCGTAAGTTCCGAGATAGAGGTACTTGTTTCCGAAAACTCTTCCGATTCGAGCTTCCCATCTTCCGTTGTGGTGGTGTCTGCAAGTTGTGATATAATTCAGAAAAAAAAAATAAAAAAAATATTAATACATAGAATATATTGATTGATTTATATGATAAGTTTACATCAAATTTATTGACTTTGTTATGGTATTTATTATTTTTCTCAAACCATTAGGAATTTAATTTAATTATAATGCAGCCATATATAATAAATTCTTATTTTGTCTCATTGGTTGGCACAATATATATCACTGGATATTTATACCTCGCCACTCCTCGATATTTCGACACTCCCCGGGAAAAGCCACTGCTCTTTCTGCAATTTCGGAAAATAAAAATTTAATTAATTAATTAATGATTTCACTTGAATATATAGTACATATGACACTAGACTTGCCTTCTCAATGATCCAATATATTCCTCTCTGGACTGTATCTCCATATCCATCAGCTCCTTCTGATACGTCGACAACTATATATAATTATATAAACGCAAAAAAATATATATTAGATTAAAAATCAATTAATAATGAGTCGATAAAAAAACGGGGTTGTATATGGCAATTACCGGAAAGTTGAGAATAGTATCTGGACCCCAATACTTGAGTGCAGCCAAGTCATAGGCATGTGCCGCTGCTTCTTCATCATCATAAGCACCTGAGAATATATCGTAATAATAATTAATTAATTAATCCTTTTGAAAAACATTTTATGATGAATATTTACCAAGAAAGAATAAATTGATAATTAACATACCTAGCTAGACTGCATTATTTCAATCAACAATCCACCAACAAAAGGAACAGCACAAAAAAAAAAAAAAAAAAAAAAAACAAATGAGATTGTTGGATGTAGAAATTTTATTAATTAATTAATGCTAAAACATTTAATTATATATGTATCGATTTATATATAGACGATCGACACAAATTATATAACCTTGTCTGCCTTTTTTGTTTTGTGCCTCGTTCCAGCAATTCTTGTCCCACAAATGAGCTTCATATCTTCCAGTCCATCGATGCCTAATAATTAAAAATAAACCAACCATTAATTAAAAAAAATTAAAGCAAAAAAATCCTAAAATATACAAATGAATTAATATTAATTAGTAGTACTATAATCAAGATTTTGAATGTGCATGCATGGTTTAATTTTAGACCTCGTCACTCCACGGTGAACGGAACTACGCTGAGGTGGAGAGTCTCTAGGGATAGTTTTCCTAGTACGTTTCGCCTTAATCCCAGGATTAGTCACTGGATTAGCACTAACAGTAGCGATCAAGGTAGTCGTGTTCTTCTTCTGCGACAATTTTGCCATCAGAAATCGCTCGATTATTACGGGTTTTGTTGTTGTTTTGCAATTAAATTGGTGGAAAATATATAACTGAGTCTACAAAAGAAGGGGCTTATAAAGAAAAGAAATAAAGGAAGGTGCAGTGCATGAAAAAACTGTGGATTGATAGCAGGATTAATTAGCCGGCTAATTGATTGATTAACCGTTAACAGCCGTCTCAAACCGGCTTTTGTACTCTTTGTCCTATCTTGGTTTTGTATTATTTGCTGTTTTCATTAGCTATAATATATTTTCCCTTCAGAAATAACTTAGTTTTGTTAAATAAGAAAAATAAAATACATTTTTTCCCTTAAGAAATAACTTAATTTTGTTAAATAAGAGAGTTTATAGAGACAATTGACATATATATAATACCAGAATCTACCAAATTTACAAGATATAATCTAAAGAACTAAACATGTTTATTAACTAAATAATTACTCAGTAAGAAATTATTCCAATCTAACCTAACCCAATACAGATAAGCAAACGTTGGCCTTAATGCATTAGAAAATACAAGATTCGACTCCGGTAAAAAAGTTGCTCGATTTTCTGTACAGGATTGGTGATGCATGTAAATTTAAATTTTCTTTAAAATTTGTAATTGAGTAAATATTATAAAAATCTAAATCATTTTACAGCTAACATTCAATCCTCTCCTAAAATTGATTTACTTATGATCATGCTATATATGGAGCCAAACGTGGGACCCACTACTCGTATAACAAGTTTGAGATGCATAACTTACCCTGCAAGATCAGCATCATACGGACGCCTAAACTAGTGTCCAAAACGTACAGCAATTCTATATTATGCTGCCAACAAGCAACTTCTTCTTCGGCACGAGTTATCTGTTGAAATGAAATGATGTATTACGGTAGAGAAAAAAACCGTAAGACGTACTATTCATATAACACCAAACTACATCATCACCGTTACTTTGAATTAAAGGAATACATTCGGAACTTTAGGTGTTAAAATAAGCACGACAAAACAAAGTTCAAATGATACTTTTAACAATATTTCGGTTATTAAGTCGAGAGAAAATAAACCTGCTCCAACATACGAAAAATATGATTGCATTTATATTCCTCTGTCATAGCCTGCTCGATCAACATATAACATTAGACTTCTAAATTTATCTGATTAAATCCATATATCTAGATGACTTAAGGTGAAATGAATATGCCGATTAATTCTTTTGTAGTTATTCCGACAAAAAAAAGAAGAAAAAAGTTAGAGAAACCAAATAGTCGGTCGGGAGACAGCAGTGACAATGACGACTGTCTGATATGATTTCGACCTAATAACATCGTATTTGAATAAGTTTCAGTGAAAATATGATAACATCGATCTCCGTGTTTTGAGAAATTTATGAAAATGATAATAGACGAATTTTATACAATAAAGTATAATGTCGACTGACCATACAACCATCGATCAAAATAAACATTATGCTAATTGAGTTACACAAATGCAACAGATAGCCCGCAAAAAAAAATCATAAAGAGCAGTATCAATTACCAATCATGCTCTAAGTTTCTCTGATCTCCAAGCTTAACAACGTGCTCGATGAAAATTTGCAAGCTATTTTCATGAAGCCAGTTTTATGTTTCGGCTTTGGTGCTGTGCTTCTGGTACTGCATGTCTGAGAAGTTTTCCTAGCCTTTCCTTGAGTATTGGATAAATCATATTACTAGCGAAAATGTCGAGTGATTGAACCATGTGTTTTCTAACAATTGCATTGAAAGCTGCTGATATTCCTCGGTGTAAAATCTCCTTTCTCTCGGGATCATAGTTATCCAACAAAATAAACAGAAACTCAAGAAGAGAATTTGTGATGTCAATATACTCGGGGATGGAATGTACCATCAACAAAATTGCGGGTTCGATATTCATAATATCATCCACCTTTTCATCAAAGAAGAGCCAATCGTAAAACAAAGCAAGTTTCGTATTTGCCTCGACGTAGTTTTTCATGTTAGACTTCAGTAGCCAACCTATAACAGCCCATCTGGGAATAATACCCGAACGGATGACATCATTAGGCGAATGGTGGGCGCAGCATATAAATCTCACAATGTCAATAATAACTGCGTTTCTCTCAGGTAGGACAAGAAACTTCTTTGCGAACCAAACCTGGTACCGCTTTTGGCTGCCGAATTTCACGCGAGTCAGCAAAAAAGTCAACTGAGATTCCATCTCTGGAGTCAACCTAAGCGAAAAATACCACCTTGGAGTCGGTGTATTGTACAACTGTGATATATCCGTAAATCCATCAACTCTAAAGGCGCTTGGATTGTACAACATGTCTTTCAATACGGCACAAAACTGTGGCACACGAACCAAATCTTGCAAAAGTCGAACAAGATCCCTCCCGATCTTCAAACACAAGGAAAAATTATATCTCAACATTCTAACGCAAAAATCACTCTCCATTTTACGCAAAGACTCCATATTTGGAATATTGGACACCCTAAAGTGATCGGTCAATAACCTTAGAAATACATATAGAGCGCCGGTCAAAACCAAGGGCTCCTCTTCTAGCAAATAAAACCATTTACTCGAGAAAAGGTTGACCATTTCAAAACACAAATGCAAATTCTCTTCGCCGAAATCCCCACCGACAATCTGCCTCAACAGAGCCACTAATAAACCGTCAAAACCGACAGCTGACACATTAACCATTTCATGAGTCAGCCAAATCAACTGCCTTTTCACAGGCTCGACAAGTTTGACGTACAATTCGTTAACAATCTTGACAAGCAAGCTCGTGAAATACTGGTAGCCATCAGTTATAATGCCGTGTAAATGCTTAATGTGAACCTTTGCGAGGTGGGGTTCGCATAAAATACCGTAAAGAATTGCTCTGTTGAGGTTTTGGTACTCTTCTTTAGTTGGGATAGAGAGGGGAAAAGGGGGTCTGAGTTTACGTTCAAGAAGAGAGAAGGCCTCTCTCAGAGTTATATCAAGCGGGTTTTCCGCCTCATGGTTGGATATTTGTATTAGCTTCGACACCATTTTTCCGTAGCAATTGGACGACCTGTACCATCATACATGAAGCAAAAATAGAAATTAGATTATGTGTGCCTAAAAATTTGGAGAACCCGAACCGAATGTAACCTTTGATAAAAATGATTAATCAGTATTCATTTCTTTATATCAGCAAAAATTAAAATAATTTGTTAGAAAATCATAGAAGTAAAAGCTATCATAATGCCAATTAAAACCTAGGCTTTGTCCTATGGTAACCAACTGAATTTAGAAAATTCTGAAATTTATCGGCCCGATATTTCTCTCTCTCAGCAACTCACTTATGTTATGTGTAAGTAAAAATACATCCGTTCACCAGGTGTAGCTAGAGAGGAGCATATACCTTCTAAGGTGGCGGCTGATATTTTGGCTAGAAGAACGAGTGGCGGCGGCGGCGGCGGTGTGAAAGGTGAAAGCTTGCAGGGGTAGTCTGTGTGTTCAGTAAAATTAGAGTGGAAATTGAATGGACCGCATTGTATTTTGAAAAAAAAAATCATTTTTTTCGAGATTGATTTCAAATATTTTCGGTAAAATTGGAATTTTAGAAATTGTTCCAAAGTTGAATTTCTCTATCCAAACCGACAAAAGTGGGAAATTCTATTTACTTATCCACGTTACATATAAAACACACAATAATATTGACATTATAAATCTCACAAAATAAAAAATCGAAACTTTCAGAATTATTTTCAGAACTTAAACTGGACCGAAAATCAAAACTTGTATATATTACTGATTTCGAACAGAATTTCAGAAATTAGAATTTTTAAAAAAATCTAAATTAAGAATTTTTATGATAAAAAACTGCAAAATTCGGAGATTATGTTCTGATTTCCGTCTCTGGGTTAAACCATTAGTAATATACCTAAATTTCAAAGGATTTACCTAATTCGAAATTGGGGTTGTTTGTAGATGTGAGCGGATAGTAGCGGCGGAAGGATGCACCGAGAGGCAGGGGCGACAAGTTAGATACTGATAAATTGTTTGGATGTTATTACTTTCCCAGCGACGGCGGAGAATAGCCGGCGGCGAGCAGGAGCACCGTGGATGGATCGGCGTGAGTCCTCAAGGGTTTAAGGAAAAGAGTTGGTTTGAAGTGGCAACTGATTCGTCTCTCTAATAATTTGTGACAAATGTTTGTAAATATCAGCTTGTGTGTGTTGTTTGCACAAAATACGAAATATGAAAGATTATGTTCAGGTTTTTTTGTAATTTTTCTCAGAATTGGCCTTAATTTATTATTAATATAATGGCACTTTGCCCTCCAAACTATCGTCCATTTTGCACCTTATCCCTGAATTACAAATTTTTACCTGAACTCAATAATTTGTTGCACGATGCCCTAATTTTTTAATTTTCGTTCAATTTTAGCCGGAATCCCTTGCACGTGAGTGGCATGTGAGATTCTTGAGGGTAAAAACGTCCATTTATATTACATCTGGCCCTACCCTTGTTATCGTTGCCATTAACCCATATATAAGAGTGTGCAAAGGGAGATGATTGTTGAAGGTACATAATTTGAGGCAGAGAGACAGAAAGATATAGGCAGTCTTTCTAGGCACTACTGGGACAAATGAGGGGAAAAGGAAACCAAAAACTTACATTAGAACTCCATTCACCATCAATACTTCACTCATTTTCTTCCTTATAAGTAATCTCCAAACCAAATTCTATCACATTATGGGAAATTACTGTCTCGTTTATTGTTTAATCAAAGCTCCCTTCGGCCTCCACACAACTTTACACGGGGCAGGAAGCCTCTTAAAACAGTGAAAAATGCCGTAGAAAATCTTCAGGCACTAACTCTTCATCCACATGCACAAACCACTTCATGAGATTCTCCCAAAATCCTAGAAACTGCAAATCGAGAACGAGGCCAAAATCGAGTAGCCTCGAAACTTCAACACACCAGACGACTCTTCTAAACGAGAAGCGGTCTCCAAATCCAGGCATCGGAAATTGAATTTAGGGTATGTACGATTGGTCGAATGAGCGGGTGCGAGTATGAAATTCAGGCTAAAGAAGTTATTGATTGAGTAGAACATGAGACATATGTCGTTGATGAAACTTCGGAGATTTTGATGTTTATGGATTGGGGGCCAAGGGGGGAGAGAGGAGGGATGCTGGGGAGAAAGGAGAGAAGTGGGGGAGGCAGAGCATCTTTGTTGGCCCAAAAAAATTAGAGCAACAATAAGGTAAAAACGAGGAAAAAGTAGATTTGCAGGGGGGTAGGGATAAATTGGAAGTGAGTGGACATATATACCCTCAAAAAACTCACATGCGATGCACGTGTAGACGATTCCGGCAAGAAATGAATGGAATTGGCAAAATAAAGGCACTGTGCAACAATTTAACGAGTTCATGTAAAAAATGCCAAAATTTGTAGTTCAGGGGGTAAGGTGCAAAACGGACAATAATTTCGGGGCCAAAGTGCCATTAACCCTTATTAATATATCCCAACTTTCAGTCCCTCTTGCAAAAAAAAAAAAAATAAAATCCCAATTTCAAGGTTAAGATTTTTGTCTATAATAACTCAAGCACAGAAATTTCTTGAAAGAGTGAATATTAACAGAATCCCACGATTAATTCATCATAATTCCTCAATATCTTTCTCAAACAAGTTAAAAATGAGAAAAATGCACAAAGGGACTACTAAAAAGGCTGCAGCTTTCAGCAAATCCTCTGTCCCTCTTGAAATCACACCAATTCTTGACCAATCTCCACTATACCTGAGGATTTCAGACATCCATTTTCTAATAAGTGATCCAAGAATTATTATTAAAAAAAAAAAGAAAAAAAAGAAAGATAACTTACGGCTACTGTGAGGTAAGGTTAAATTACGAAAAAACTCTTCATGTTTGGATAATTACAATCACCCCTCGACAATGAATTTTTTTACACGTCCACCTTATGGTATCAAATTCAATATAATCTTCTAGGTTCCGTAAAATATTCTCTAGCTTGTACTCGTTTTGTGCAAAAATGTAGTTTCTGATACACCACAATTTTTGATATTTACAAGTCTAGATACGCATCTTATGATACATCTTGTTTCAAAATGTAGAGTTCGAATGGAGTAAAACGGGCAAACGTGAGAATATTCCATATAGTCTAGAAGATTCTACTAAATTTGACACCGCAAAGGTGGCCGTATAAGAAAATTCATAGTCGATGGTTGTTGGTAATTATCCAAACATGAAGATTTTTTTCGTAATTTAACCTTAGCTGAGGAGTGGCCGTAATTTACCCCCAAGAGAAAAAAAAAACCAATTTTGTTTTGTAAGAAACTTGTGTAAGGAGATTTTTCGTAAGCATACCCGGCATCGATGAATCCTAGCGCAAATACTCCAATAGCAGATTGAATAAGAATCTTAGTTCCGGAGAGCTTTAATGGGAGCAAGGCTTTGTTTTCTTTCTTACTTGATTTTTTTTCGGAGAAATCTTTTTTCTGAGACTTAGTTGAGAAGGCTACATATGGTGGTTTACTGCTATTTTTGTTAGAAATCAGACAAGAAAATGTATTGCAGTTGCAGCTGATAAATCTGCTGCAGTTGATGAACATTTTTATTGTCTGAGGCTAAGTCTGGAAATTAACTCTTATCTATATTTTCATGAGTGGCTGTCATTAGTTCACAGCATGTGAATTTTTTTTTATTATTATTAAAAAAAAATTATTAGCTAGATGTACATAATTCTGTGTGCTTAATCCCTGAGTAGACAATTTATATATACTGAAATGATTTACGCGGTACTAAAATTACGAATACTGTTCATGGTGTTCTTACCTTCTTTTCTCTACAAACATTCAACCCACCCAAATCCTCTAAAGCCCCAAAATTCACAAAAACCCTCAACAATCCTCCTAAATCCAAAAATCTCTCAAATTGAAAGGTAATTTCCTATCTAATTTAGTTAGATGTGTGAAATTTGTGTTTACTTTGAGGTTCAACATGTGAAAACCCAAAAAAATTGCATTTTTTGGCTGTTTTTGTTGCTGGTGTGCGTCATTTCCACACCTGTTTCCGGCACCTGAACCAGTCGTACGGTTTTTGTTTTTATTTTTTTTATTTATTAAGTTATAAGTAAATAATAAAAATAAAAGAAAGATATAAAACATTAAATTCTTTGGGGTCCATTTGGATCGATGAATTTGGAGGGAGATTTGATTTGGGGAAGGGATTTGAAATGACACTAATTTTTGGAAATATATATGTTTTTTAAAAAAATTGTTTAGTCGCCCAAACCGGGTGCGAAAATGCGATTTAGGCGCCCAAACCGGGCGCCCGATTTGAGCGTGAATCGGGCGTTTGCGCGCCCAGTTTGGGCGTGAAAATTAATTCCCAGCACCCATATTGATCGTGAGATACGTTTTTCCGATTTATAGAACAAAAACGAACAAAATTTACCTCAAAAGATGGGTTTTGGAACGATTTCTAATATAAAAGCTCGAGAGAATTTATTTCTAGAGAGAGAAAGAGGTAGAGAGTGAATTATTTTAAACCCATATTCGTAAAAATGCTATCGCTGATATCACATCCATTATATATATTGTTGATGGAAAAAACTTGATCATATTACAAATGTTTAATTTTTTTTTTTAACGGAATTGGAATACTAAAATTTCGACTAAAATTTTGATTTTCGATCGGTTTTAATTTTCAAAAAATATATATCCGAAAATTCTTATATATATATTTTGAAAGTTACATGTTATATTATAGATGACTAATGAATGCAAATTCAGAATTTCAATCCGGAAATTTCTTATTTTGGAAAATAATTTTTGAAGTATTAATATACTTAAACAAATATTTCTTATAATGACTTTTTATTCCATTGCTTATGCAAATGTGTCTTTTAAACTAGGGGTTTTTATATATAAAATCCTGACCAACCAGCTTTATTATTTTAGGGTATATTACAAATAAGCCCATTAGTGGGAACTTATTCATAAAGAGATCCAGACAATATTCTCCTTTACCAATAAGTCCACACATGGTCCAGATTTATGTAAATGACTAAAATAACCCCTCTTACTTTAATATGCTCCAATTTCATCCTTAACTTACTTTAACTTCAATTTGACCCCAACTTTCACAAATTATTCAATTTTGACCCAAAATTTTTTTTTTTTCACAAATTTTTTTTTTTTCAAAAACTTTTTTTCCCGCCGGATTCCGGCGTTGACCGGCGGTCAACGCCGGTCTCCGGCGTTGACTTTTTATTTATTTTTTTTTATTTTTTTTTTTATTTTTTTTTCCTTCCGGGTTTTTTTTCCGGATTCCGGCGTTGACCGGCGGTCAACGCCGGTCTCCGGCGTTGACTTTTTAATTTTTTTTAATTTTTTTTTTTTTTTTTTTTCCGTTTAAACAGCAATATTGCTGTGAATGACAGTAATATTAACTATATTACTGTTAAACACAGTAAAATTAACTAAACTATAGTTTAACACATTGATATTGCTATATTAATCTCTAGCACATTAATATTAACACAACAAAATTCATTATTATTGTATAATAAAGTAATATTACTATGTTGTCCGTTCAACAAATGTAAACAAAATAAAAAAAACCAAAAGAATTAATATTACTGTGAGTGACAGTAATATTACTATAGCAACAATAATATTACAATAGTAGACAGTAATATTATTACGTTACTCCGTGAATAACTCGAACAAACAAAAAATCCAAACAAAATAATAATATTGATGTGGTTGACAGGAATATTACTATAACAACAGTAATATTACCGTCAACCACAGTAATATTATTGTGTTTACAGTAATATTACAATAATAGACAGTAATATTAATACGTTACTCCGTGAATAACTCAAACAAAACGAACACCCCAAAAAAATAATAATATTGATGTTGTTGATAGTAATATTATTGTGTTTACAGTTATTTTACTGTCAACGACAGTAATATAATTACGTTGACTTGTCAACAAATCAAAAAAAATAAAAAAAAATAATAATAAATAAAAAATATAATATTGCATTAATTTACTGTCAACGGCAGCACAATTACATAAATGTAATGTCAACGGCAGTACAATTACGTTAATTAACTATCATTGACAGTATAATTACGCTAAATTACTGTCAGTGACAGCACAATTACGGTCAACGTGTAGCGGCGGGCATGGAAAAACAAAACAAACCAAACAAAAAAAAAAAAACTTAAAAAAACACTAAAGAAAGAGACCGCCGGAAACCGGCGAAAAAATCCGGAAGAAAAGAAAAGAAGAAAAAAAAGAAAAAAGCAAAAA